GACGGCGAGCTGGGAGTTCAAGGGGATCTGCCACTTGTGGTGGACCTTCGACCAACTATCACGAACATGTCAGAATCACTAGGTTTAATGGTGCAGTAGTTGGGTAAGGCTCAACTTACATCCGAGAGAAGGGCATCGCGCCATCACGGGAGAAGGCCCAGAAGACACGGCCAGTACTCAATTGGGAGCTGACGACGCAGGGCCCCAGAGCGACGAACAGAATGAAGGTTAGACCAAACGCTCCTCCAGCCCCCTGCGTGACTTGGCGGAACAGCTCGGCCAGCGGGAGCCCGGTGTTGGTCGTAGACAGGGCGTCAAAGTCCTGGACGGAGAACATGAGGGTGATGAGGTAGGTGATACCCGTGACGAAGGCGATGGAGAGCGTGATGGCGATAGCCAGGGGTGCATTGCGAGATGGCTAAGCAAGGGTCAGCACACTCTCTGTCAGCTGAGCAAACGAAGGAACAAGAAGAAACTCACGTTGGGCATCTCCTCCGTGATGTGGGTGACTCCATCAAGTCCACCAAGACTGTAGAGAGGGTTGACTAGCCCAGTGATGAAGCAGACAACCTGATTCTCCCAACCAGTGTTATTGATCCACGTGCGGAACACGAACTCGGTGTTGCGATGCGTCGGGGCACACGCCGCCACGGTGACCATAACCACGAACCAGCCGATTTGCAGGTAAAAGAGGGAGAACTTATTCAGTCCAGGAATGATCTTGTTACCAAACATGACGATCCCGGCGGTGATGAGGTTCAGTCCCTGGTAGACGATGAACGTCTGCCACGCCTGGATCTCGAGGTCTCCGTGGTAGAGCGCGATCAGGGCCATGAGAACCTGAGCGTAAATCAGGTTCGTTGACGCAGTCGTGAAGATCCCTGAGGTCAACGCCTGTCAGCCTCCCCATCCCAACATGCGATTGAAAGGCGAGACAACTTACAGCCAAGCACGCTAAACCAGCCTGTGAAAAAGCTCAAGACACCCGTCATCTTCCTCGGCGCGACGGCAGCAATCCAGTGGTACATGCCGCCTTCGGTTGGATACGACGAGACGAACTCGGCCAGCGACGCGCCGAGGAAGCATTGGAGCAGGGTGACTAGGATGAAGCCGTAGATGACGGCGCCAGGCCCACCGGCGTTGATCTCGGTGATGAGGCCGAGGCCGAGGCCGGTCCACGAGATTGTCGTCGTTGAGGCGAGGCCGATGAGACTGAGAGTGCTGAAATGGCGCTTGAGCTCTTGGGTGTGACCTGGTGCGTGTGTTAGTAGATGATTGCAGGATATAATGCTGAGAAAACCCACCCATCTGCGCCAAACGGATCTCATCTGCGGAAAGGTTCTTCTCCGGAGCAGCGTCGACGCTCCGCCTCGGACTCGACGAGATGTCGGTGGGTGTCTTGACGTCTGCCATGATGTCTCTCTTCAACTCTGCCAAAGGTGATGTTCGTTCACAATTGCAAGCTCTCTTCAATTGTCAATTGTCGACAGGACACCTCAACAAGTCGTGTTCGCGTGCCATAGTCACGCGTGGGCGACATCGTCAACATATATCCATGTAGACCCGTAGGACCCTTACGGTGTTTTTCGCCCCCAGAATGCCGTTAGTCCACAATTGATAGTGTACGTATGGGGTCCTTCTGGCTTCAGCCAGACCCATCAGATGATTTTACCCCATCAATTGAGAATGAAGAACGATTGTGTTTACAGTTTTTCGTGTGTCCCCCGGAAACAAGCCGTGCTTTGCCGCGATCCGATACCACGGGTCCATCTTAAAGCTATGGGGCAGATAAAATCATAGTCCCAGTCAGATCTTCTGCCAGTATTCGTAGGAGTTGATTAGTGCAAAGATACGGGCATTAGAGCCGTGGTTGATCACCCGGTAAACATCGGACCGGGTCCTCCAACTTCTCCCAAGAGACCAAGCTCCCCCGTTCATCGGACCTTAAACCGTACCACACCATCTGAACACTTTCTTTTCTGCCCTTCTGGACTGCCAAAAGTGCGGAGAAGAGGCGAGCAGGGGGCGCCGAGTCATCGGTCAGGGACGATCCTTGTTAGAGCCAACCGGGCATCTCGCATCTCCCCCGGCTTTCTTCTCCCACGACCCCGGTTCATGCCCGTAACCCAGTGATACCACTGTCCTTCCGGGCAATCACCTGTTCTTCGCTCGGGGATGCCCCGAAATGCTTCTGCGTGCTGCCTTTCCTCGGCTACAGGGGGTCTCTCCCGCCGTTGGGAATTACAACGTCCCACTGAGCCAAGGTCTACGAATTCGAATCCTTCATGTTCTTTCTCTAAGAGACTAGTGTACGGAGTACGACTCTCATCCCGCCTTTTCCACAGCTAGGACGACGGGTTGTCAAAGGTCTCCATGTCTTCCCACCCTCGTTATCACCTCCGCATTCTTACCTAACCTGGCCAACATCACCGACCCGAAGTCGAGGGAGGAACCCACCCAGCCACCGCCGCTAAAGTAGCTTGTCCTGCTTGATTGATTGCGCACCCGGGTCGGGACCCCGGGGGAGGGGTTTTCCTGCTTGAACATGACATCTCTTGGTACTCGCCCACTGCCGTTCGTCGCCGGTCACGCGGCTTGTATCCGTATCTGTGTAATGACGACGATCTTCCGGGGGCCCAGCGCGATATGGGCAACTCTTGGCCGCGGTCTTGGCCGCGGAGAGAGAGTGAGAGAGAGCGAGATTCGATATGATGGTGTATATTAAGGTAGCTTGAGACCGCATCCTCGGGTTCGCAACTGAGTCCCCTACCCCAGGTCTCTGTTGAGCTTCCAACTCCTCTGTCATTCGTCAATTGGTCCCTCTCGTCCTCTCCTCTCTTCACAATGGCAGCCACCTTCAAGGCGATGGGCATCCTGGCCCTCGCCAGCTCAACAATGGCGGTGTCGCCATACGTCGCCAATCTCTCCACCAACGCACAAGGCCTCTTGACTGAGTCCATGACGTGGATGGACCAGTACTACGACCGTTCCGCGGGGTACCTCTACGACATTGGATCCGCGTCCGCGCTGCGGCACGAGACGCGCAGCTCCGTCTGGTACGCTCTGGGTCTGCTTGCGCGCAACGACGGCGACGACGCTGCGGAGGCCGAGAAGATTATCAAGAACACCATTGGCGCGCAGTTCAAGAATGTCTCGGAGCAATGGTGAGAGCTTCCTCAAACTTGAGTTGACGGGTGCAAGAGACTGACTTGACTTTCAACACAAAGGTACGGAGACTACCAAAAGTACGACGGGGAACCGTACGTGGGATCGCCTTACTACGAGGACAGCATCTACAACTCGTGGGACCCCAACTGGAGAGGTTTCGTCGGCACAACGCTCGTCATGGCGTTGGAGGAGTTCCCCCACCTGCTGAGCAACGACACCCAGGATCTCATCCTCGAGTCGCTGCACAACACCACAAAGGGAGACGAGTACCGCGTCGGCGGCGTCGACGACGACAACCTCTACCCAGCCTACAGCAATCCTGTAAGCACTTTTCTTCTTAACAACAGCTGTAATGCAGGCACTAACACCACCAAGGCCATCATGCGCGCCCTCGTCTCAGGCTACACCGGCCGCCGCCTCAACGACGCCAACATGACGGCCTCGGGCGAGTCCTACGCCCAGGAGATCATCGATCTCTTTGACCGCGCCAACACGCTCTCCGAGTTCAACTCGGGCACCTACACGGGCGTCTCCCTCTTCGGGCTGATCCTCTGGTCCAAATACCTCCCCGAGGACTCGGTCATGACGCAAAAGGGCCCGCAGATGCTCGCCGACACGTGGAAGGCCGTCGCGCAACTGTGGCACCCGGGCATGAAGAACATGGCCGGCCCCTGGGACCGCGCCTACGGCTACGACATGAACCGCTACGTCAGCTTGATGGCGCTCTGGTTCTGGACCTTGATTGGCAAGGAGAACTCTTCCCTCATCTCTGCTGTAAGTCTATCCTCCGAATTGGCTCTTCAGGCCAAGGCCCCAGGAGCGCACTCGTAGAACAACAGCATACTAAATCCGAATAGCCTCAAGTCATGTCCCACGCCGCCGACTACGCCTGGGCCCCGCTCTTCGCCGTCCTCGCTGACTTCCACGCAAGCCTCCTCCCCGAAGGCCTCGTCGCGAACCTCACCACCTTTGGCAGCGAAGACCGCACCTTCTCCGCCTCAACCTTTTACCCGCCCTACGACCTCGTCCCCCGCAACATCAGCACCTGGCTCTCGGAAAACCTCACCATCGGCGCAGAATCCTTCAAGGAGAACGTCGTCGGCGGGCCCTCCATCAACCAGGCGTCCTTCAACCCGGCCGTCGTGCAGTGGGACACGGGCGCCGAGATCGCCTTTATCTCGCTGTACCCCACCGAGATGTCGCTCGACGTCGAGGTCGCGCCGAATAAGCTGAGCCTGAGCTACCCCAACGGCACCGCCGACTCCATCTTTACGTTTGTCGTCGGTACCTTTATCAAGAAGCCCACCATCACCGGCTGGGCTGATGTTCAGGGCCTGTCTGTGAATGTCTCGGGCAACGTCAACGAGACGTACGCGCTGTCGTTTGCTGGGTCCATGGGAGGCACCAGCTCGCCCATCCGCGACTTTGAGTTTTGGAACTTTACATACACGCTGCCTCAGGGTTTCGAGGGCACGCCGAGTATTGTCCTCGACTTGAACTTGTTGTAAGGATGAGATGGGTGGGGGGTAGATGTCAGGCTCCTTGAGGCTAGGCATGTTTATGGTGTACATAGTTGAGCATTCCGGCTTGCGATGTTCATGATAATGAAGTAATGATATTGGTAGTAATGGCAGGGAACCTCTACCGTCAACAAAGGTCGTCGATAAACGCAATCAAAATGGGTGGAATTGAATTCCATCATGCTCTTCGTCGTCGATGAGAAAGTAGTAATCTTGATGATATTTGACGATTTCCTCAATTTTGGATGCGATTATCAATCAATCGCAGAGTATTACAGTACATATATGTTTTACACGTGCCGCTCATAAAACTTAACCCCTAAAGTAAGCAAGAAGGCCTCGCTCAACAGCGACACCAACCGCGCCAGTAGCAGCAACAATCCACACCCACTGGTTATCGTACTCCCCAAGACTGGGCCAGAAGCTGTTCTTGTCGCGCTTGTACTCCTGGAGCTGCTGGAACTTGAGCGGGTTCTCCTTGGCGTAGCGCTCCTCCTGGCTGGCCTCAGTGACCTTATCGCCGCCGAGGTAGCGGAGGACAATATAGTTGACGATGGGGCCGAGGGCGGCGAGGGGGTGCATCATACCGGCGCTGTAGAGGAGGACAGGGAAGGACAGGTGGACGAGGGCGTCGCCAAGGTAGCTATGCTTGGTTAACTTTCATAATTCAATGAGAGAAGTTGGGACCCATGGATTACTTACTTCGGGTGGCGGACAATGCTCCAGACGCCCTCGCGGTTGATCTCCTTGCTCTTGCTAGAGTGTTCCTCAAGCTGGCTATCCGCAATGGTCTCGAGGGCAAGACCAGCGGTGAATAGGAAGACAGCCAAGCTATGGAACGTCTCGGGGAACTCCGTGAAAGCAGATGACCGCGCGCTGGTCAACGGCGCACTGAAAGGCAACGTAAACGGCAAAGCAATGAGTGTCTGCAGCGCAGCCTCTGGCAAGAACATGCTGAAGAAGGCCTTGTCCCAGAACTTGGGGTCCTTCTTCTTCAACGCGACGTAGCGGTCGTCGTCCTTGCCACGCTTCACGCTGCGGGTGGCGATGCGGTAGAACAGACGGGCACCCCAGGCGCTAACACCAGTGAGGAGCAGCTTCTGGGTGTATCCGAGAGAGTTCCATGCCGAGGGGACGGACAGACCATCGTGAACTACGCGGGCGCCGATGGCGGTCCACCAGGCGTTGGCGACTTGACCAGAGGGCCACAGCCAGTCTTTCGTGTCTGCGCGGTCGGTGTACCGCGCGACGGCGTAGACTACGGTGCTCAAGCCGGCGTGGAGGCCAAAGGATGGGAGTAAGGCGTTTTGTACGAGGCCGAGGGTTGATGTTGTAGCCGCATTGACGGGGTTGCTGGGGTGGAGGCTGAAGTGCGAGCCGTAACGATCCTGCTCGGCACCGGAGACTCTCGGCAGTCTTCTTGAGATCCCTTCTGCAGCTGGACCTGCCTTGCCGCCAAAGTGGGCTCCGAAGCGGTCTTGCTCAGCTCCCGAGGCGTGGGGGAGGTGTTCGTTGAGCTTTGATCCGGAGGGCAGCTTGTCGCTGCCGAACCAGCCGCCGAAGCGGTCCTGCTCAGCACCGGACGTCTTTGGGATCTTGTCCTTGATGTCCGAGGCAGACGGCAACTTGTCGCCTCCGAACCAACTTCCAAACTGATCCTGTTCTGCGCCAGTTCCCTTGGGCAGCTTCTCATTGATCTGGGAGGCAGAAGGCAGCTTCTCCTTGATCTTGTCCGTGACCTGATCGACAACGCCCTCCCAGTGCGCAGCGTACCGGTCCTGCTCGGCGCCCGAGGCACTGGGCAAGTGTTCCTTGACCCAAGTGCCGGCGGGCTGTCCCTTGTTACCACCGAACCAGCGATCATACCGATCTTGCTCGGCGCCAGACACACGTGGCAGCTTCTCGCCGAGCTTGTCGACAGAAGGAAGCTCGTGGCCGCCAAACCAGCCCTCGTAGCGATCTTGCTCGGCCCCAGAACCCCGCGGGAGGTTCTGTCTCAGCTTCTCGGCAGCCTGGTCTCCCTTATTTCCGCCGAACCAGCCTCCGTAGCGGTCTTGCTCGGCACCAACGCCTCGGGGCAGGTTCTCTTTGATCCTGTCCGCAGCGTGCTCGAGCTTCTCGGTGGCTTTGTCAGCTTTCCCACCGAACCAACCCCCATAGCGCTCTTGTTCGGCGCCGGCGCCGCGGGGGAGGTTCTCCTTGAGTCTGTCGGCGGCATGTTCAATCTTTTCGGTAGCTTTATCGGCTTTGCCACCGAACCAGCCGCCGTACCGATCCTGCTCGGCGCCCGAGGCCACGGGCAAGTGTTGTGCCGTGGGGATTTCGTTAGTATTGACGCCTAGGCGGGCATTGTAGCCCTCTCCCCGATCTGTCATTGTGCTTTGGATTTTCGTAGACTGGACTCAATGGTATCGTAAGACGAACGTAAGGAAACCTTCAATGAAGCTTTCGATGGGAAGGTAGAAGAAGAGAAGGGGCAGAGGGTACTAGATAGTATTTGAATGGCACATGTAAACAGGGAGGAGGGGAAGCTCCGGAACGAGCTCTGGTGGCATGTTTCCGAATGGCCCTTACATCTGAAAGCTGGAAGCTCCGAGCTTACCTACAGCTAACTGCTACCTACCTCCCCCAATTCGCCTCTAAAGCTGTGCTGTAAGGATGACGTCTACCCCGCGGTAGGGCGGGTTACCCCTTGTTCCTCGACGTCACTGGGCGTCCCGATCCGATGAATTGGCTGAAGCGGTTAGCTTCGCAGGTCTGGGTAGTACCACTGCAAGTCTTCTCGTCACTCGCTTCAAAACAGAAAAGCTTCTGTAAAGAATTGAAACATGATACGAAGACTGATAGATTACTGTATGGATCCTCTAGATGTCTAGCTCAATACATAGCTTAAGGATTGCGCCGGATGCTGTTTGTGAGGCTTCTCAATGAGAGAGACGACTTACACGATACTTTCATTACCCAAGGTACGTACGCACAGGAGTTCACTAAAATTGCGGGGTCTGCTGGTGCAGATCGACGAGCACCTGCATTCTTGGCCAGGAACATGGGCTGACGGATCCTCTGCTCGGACACGACGGGCATCCAACCCCAGGTTTCGTACAATATCTGACATGACGGATAGTCAAAGTCTCCAAAAAGCTGTGCTTGGCGTAAAATAACAAGAGCACCCGTATACTTGTTTTAAAAGATCACTGTCGCACCGAATGACGAGTGGAAATGTGGTATTCAATGAGGCAGAGAACAATATCACACGGATTTTGTGGGTATCTACGATGTCATAATAGAAGCCTCGGTATCCCATATGACCTAGCAAATACCAAATCAAAGCTTATGGTCAAACAACAACAAATGGGGAATAATCAAACAATTTTACTTCCAACCGGCTGAAACCGAAAGCAGTGCGCGACGCCGGTTACCAAACGCCAAACACCACTCCATTTCCGCGCCCCCAACCCGATGAAGAACAAAAGAAACATCCTAAAAGGAGACAGAGCAAAACGGCAAAGAGTCAAAACCAATTACCGCCGCCGTGGCCCCCATATCGATCGTACTCTGAAAACCCAATCTGCGGAGGCGGGAACATGGGCGACACAACCTCTGTCTTGCGCTGCCCGTCCTCATCCAGGTACGTCGCCGAGTCGAGAATCAAATCAAACAGCGTCTCCTCTTCGCTCTCGTCCACCGAGACAGACGGGTTCGGCGAGAACGGCGGCGCCGTCGTCGGGGCTGTATTCAAGCTCGTGTTGGTTGTCGCGCTCGTGGTGGTACTCCTCCCGGTGGTACCGGCAACACCACCAACACCACCACCTGCCATCGGCAGACTTAGTCGCTCAGACTTTGCCGACGCCTGTGATGAAGCCCGCGAGTACGAACTAATCAACTCCTCAAGCATCCGACAGCTCTTGCAGAGGATCCCAATTCCCGAGTCGGAGAACCTACACGTCAACTTCACTGTTCCCTGCGCCGCAGCCGAGGAACTGCTGAAGTGGCGCTTGTCTGAGAAGATGTCTTCGCCCGGTCGGAGAGACTCTCTCATGTTGCACTTGCTGCACCGGATGTCTGCTGTCGTGTTGCTATTGCTAGATTCACGGTAGCCGCCGGCGCTGCTTGGTGTTGACTCGACGCCCGAAGAGTACTCTGCGTCCGAGTGGGCTTTCGGTGAGGTGTCGTGTTCCGAGACTGGGCTAGGGCCCATATCAGAGTGCTCTGTCAAGGCTGATATGCGCGGGAACGGTATCGTGAGCATTGTTGGGACTGGAAGCGTTGCGGCCCGTGTCAGCTTTTCGCGCCTCGCTTCGTTGCTGCTGCTTGTCTGGCGTTGACGTTGACGTTCGAGGCCGGGGACGTCCCAAGCCGCACCCTTGGTTTCATTGACCGCAATCGTAGGACCATGCTGAATGAATCTTTGTAGACTCCTGGTGCTGGAGCTGGACGCAGACGACAGGTTACGTGGTCGACCAGTTGTTGTGTCCAGTGACGCTGATGACTTTCCGGCGTGAACAGGCGGCTGATTGCGACAAGAGATGAAGACGCTTCTGAGATGCGCTTCAACATCCAGGGATAGGGACGCAGTGATAACGGGTATCTGCGCGGAGAACGAGCCGCTGTCGGCCGATTGCGAGGCGAGAAACCGAAGCCGTTCCTCCAAGCTAGCCTTCAAGTTCGACATGTTGCCGGCAGCAAAGACTTCCTGTTCTACCAGCGGCAGCTCTACGGCGGGCAAGGCAACTAAAGCCTGTCAGTGAATATGTCTGCATTCTTGGATGTAGAATACTCACCAGGCTTCGGTACCACTCTGTCAAGAGGGAATAGCCACCTCCACAGCTCATCCCACGAGTCGAAAACCTTATTGCCCATCTGTTCAGATAGTTTCTGTGCTTTCATACTACTGAGGCCATCTTCTGGATCGGCCCATTCAGAGTCGCCATCCGATCTTGGTTCGCACATTTGCTCTCTAGGCAGCATCAAGTGTTGCTTAAATGCGTTGGGCTCCGAGAAACCATCCTCACACCGCGGGCACTGAAAGAGGTGAGCATCGCCGCAACGCTTATGATCCTTTGCGATATGCTTCCTAATGCCAATTAGTTATTGCTCTCTATTCTGCCCATGATTTGATACTTACTGCAAATCTGCGAAATCTTTCCATCTTCCGTTGGCGCAGTGCCACTTGTCATTGACGTTGAATCGTGCCTGATTTCGCAGCCTGTAAGGGCATGGCAGCAATCCACCTTGGCCACTGCTTTCTCTTTGATTATTCGAGGAATAGTAGTCGACAATCGACGACCCCCCGCTGGACCTTGTATCCTGCTTGGAAGACTGCGCGTTGCGTTCGTCTGTCGCGGCCATCTTGATCTGACCACCAGCTCTGCCTGCGGTCTCCTGGAGCGACTTCGACTCCAGAGCCAGACGGGCTTGCGCAGGCCCTCCGCTCCCTCTGCTAGCGCCTCCTGTTTGTGCAAGACGGGATATGTCTTCGAGACATCGTGCTACGGTGTCCCAGACTTTGAGGGGAGTCGAGGATCTGTCGGCGCCAGCGCCAAATTCCTCGTCCAATATCATGGAACAGATACGAGACACCAATGGCTTCTCACCATCTGGTAGAGCATCATTCGACGCCTTGATATCCTTCCGATAGCTTTCCAGGTTGGAGTCTCTTGGCGGCAGACGTGCAGGTTGATTTTGTGAGTGGCTCTCACTGAGCTGCTCATTTTTAGGACGGGCTCCAAGCCTAGTTACCAGATTAGCTGGCCAACGTTAAAGATGTAAACCTCGATGGGCACGCATACCTAGGCATCTCCGGCATCCTTCCTTTTGACGGGGTCGCTGGCATGCTCATGGAGTGCGTCGGCCTAGACGGTGTCTGCGGCTCCGACGATGGGGGAGCTTTGCGAGGTGTGCTGGCTGACGTCTCTACGCCGCCAGCCTTAGAGGAATCAGAGGAGTCTTTGCGTTTCAAGAGAATCGAGTCTCTTAGTGGCAGACGTCGACGCTTAGGTGAAGTCTGCTTGACGTTCCCAGATCGTACGAGGCCCCGTGGCGGAACGGGAAACTCCCAGGAGTCTTGGACCAGCCGGTTCTCTTGGTCCTCCTCCTGAATCTTCTTGTCTCGATGTCCTTCTCTGCTATGTGACAGGATGCGCAGCGTCATAACCGGACTTCGGCTTCTGTCAAATGGCCTCGTCGACGAGCTGTAGACGCGTCCCGAAGAGGCACTCGACCGCTGAAGTGGGACAGGCGGCACAGCAGCCTTTGGTGCATCTTCTGGCGAGGTATACCTTGATCGAATGGTAGGTCTGTTGACTGGCAGCGGTGGGCGGTACTGCGTTTCGACTCTGGTTCTTTGACCTGGAGCACTTGTTCCCCGTGATCGGCTACTGGATGGGTGCTCCGGCCGGCGTGGCGGGATCTGCTGCGGATGCGTGTGCAGGGGGTTCATGTTGGACATGCTGTGATGGTCTCTTGCCCCTATCCCTGTTGGTTTACGTCTTGCGTATTGAACATGAGCTTAAAATCGCCAGCGCTGAATACCGCTGGCACAACCAAGCACAACTATGCCTGTGAAGAAAGGCTCGTTTAAGAAAGAACAGCGACGAACCACGAAACGAACAGCGTGTAGATTGAAACCGAATTCACGAAGCAGCAAACACCAAGGCCAGGACCAGCCTGGTGGGGGATCTGAACAGTCATATGTGCTCGCTTTGTGTACGCCGGCAGCTTCATGCTTTGGAGGGATGAACATGCAGAACATGCTCAAGAGGGCGGACGGCACGACTCGGATCCAACAGACAACCTGTCACTAGTCCCATCGTTAGTCAAAATCATTTCAGACACTGATGCGCAAGACGGGATCCCGAGACTCGGTGACTGCATCGCGCCCATTGGCCCGAAGTCGAAGGGAGAAGCGAGCCGAACTAAGACGGGAGTCTAAGGGTCGATAACCAAGACAAGGTCTCAAAGTCCAGCCTGCGGCGGGGCATCTGTGGCACCCCAAAACAGTCCCTTTTTCGACAGCTTTGCCAGTCAAGCCAGTAACCATTGGACTGCTAGGCTCTAGCATATCCCTTCCATTGAGCACGACACAATAGAAGAGGTTGGTCTCCCTCGATGGCTGGGCCTCGACACACCATAGACCATGTGCAGGGCAACTTTGCCAGCGAGATTCATCTTCCAGATGACGATGTTGACTTTTGTGGCAGAGTAGCAACAACCAAGACCTGCATCGCTCGATGACAGATCATGTCCCGTGGCCCATGGGCATAAAAAAAAGTTTGATTCCGCCGTATCTGATGATCAGATCATCGGCGGTGGTGTCGCGGGGGAAGCGTGCGATGGTTGTCAAGCCGACCTCTGTCGAGAATGCCCAGCAAGGCGCCGTTACACAATGTCGTCTTCGCCGGCATAGACTTTTTCATCGGGCCCTTGAGCCGACGGAGTATCTTGCGCTTTCGTGGCCCTTCGTGTCACCCCATTGTCCCATTGACGAGATTCCTTGGCAGACATCTCGACATTGGTGTAAGTCAAGATGCTCTTGGTTTCATCGACGACAAAGTCGCACCCGTTCCAGTGATGGCATTCCCAGTGTTGGATGCGCACGCCTTAAACTTGCAAGTTACACCAGAATTCGTAGGAAATTGTGTCGAAATCCGGCCGTGAGGATGAGAGTCTTCGGTAGTCCCGCGCCATCGTATTCCTCAGCGGGCAAAACAACAGATAGACGGGATGAACGAGTGGACATGGGGCTGAAAGATGGAGAACCGAGCAATGGCGAAAAGCAAAGTCTCGCAGCACTCAGCCGTCGTGTTGGTGGGTGGTGGGGGGCTCCCAGGGCAGGCAGGCAGCGGCTTATCTTATCGGAGCGCGCAAGCTCCGGTTCACCTGGAGGTCACCGTAAAGGTACGTACTGCGAGGCTCCTGGAAATGCGCGAGAGCCCATCCCACAGGCGGCCATGATCAACATTCAAGCCCATCGGGGATTTCAACATCGCAACGAGGCTACACAAACTCAATCGATATCGAGCCATCTTCTTTAGCACCGCATACCAGTCACTCGTTTTGATCCTCAGAAGTGTTCGATCTCTACGCAAGCCCCAGGAATCCCCGACAACAGATCGCGTGCCCAAGAATCCGACGACACCGAAATTCCCAATTGCTGAACACCACCACACCCAATCCACGAACCCCTCCTCACCACGTGCTGAAGAGCTCTCCAGATCGCGAGCACAGGTTAGCTTATATACAACATGGCTGACGCCGGCTATACCAATGGCCCAGGCAACACGCCCCTGGCTGAGGTCAAGAAGCCCAAGAAGAAGAAGGTCCTACTCATGGGAAAGAGTGGCTCGGGAAAGTCGAGCATGCGAAGCATCATCTTCAGCAACTACATTGCCCGTGATACCCGGAGACTGTAAGCCCTCTTCTCCTATACCTGGTGGTTCTTTCAGCTATTTCGTCCGTACAGAGACTGACCACGGAACCAAACAGCGGCGCAACAATAGACATCGACCTCTCCCACGTCAAATTCCTCGGAAACCTCACCCTCAACCTCTGGGACTGCGGCGGCCAAGAGGCCTTTATGGAAAACTACCTCTCCCAGCAGCGCGTCCATGTCTTCTCCAACGTCGGCGTCCTCATCTACGTCTTCGATATTGAGTCCCGCGACATTGACCGCGACCTTGCAACCTACGTTTCTATCATCTCCGCCCTCCTCCAATTCTCCCCGGGCGCCAAGATCTACGTCCTCATCCACAAGATGGACCTCGTCGTCCCCGCCCACCGTGAATCCGTCTACGACGACCGCGTTCGCGTCGTCCGCCAGCGCACCGCAGAGTACGCAAACAGCATCGGCTACCTCCACCAGCAGCATCCAGACGCCGCCGACGACCCCACCAGCCCCTCGACCGCGCCCCCCGCCGGCGGTTTCGACATCACTCCCTTCGCCACCAGCATCTGGGACCAGAGCCTCTACAAGGCCTGGGCGAGCATCATCCACGACCTCGTCCCCAACCTGGCCACGATCGAACGCAACCTCGCCAATCTCGGCGTCGCCATCGAGGCAGAGGAGCTCCTTCTCTTCGAGCGCACCTCCTTCCTCGCCGTCTCCTCCTGGACCTCGGAAGAAGGCCAGCGGAACCCCACCGAGGACAGGCTGGAGCGCATGTCCAACATCATGAAGCACTTCAAGCAGACCATCAGCCGCTTCACCGGCACCCCGCGCAACGCAGAGCAATTTGTGCGCATGGAGCATAAAGCCGGCACGCGCTTCAACCTCTTCATCCTCAAGTTCACGACGAATACCTACCTGATGGTCATTCTGCCACCCGGCGAGGCTAGGTTCAACGCCGCCATGCTCAACTGCCAGATCGCGATTGAGCATTTCAAATTCCTAGACGGTCCGGCTACCATGATCCCGCAAGGCGGCGGCAGTACAGCATGAGAGTATTCCAAAGAGGGGCTGTAAATAATGCGAACCTCGCGGATCTGTTTCTAGTTGGTTTATACGTATCGGCAACAAACAGTTTGCCGCAGCGGCGTATGGCAAGGGATGATTAATGATACCATTTGAAGGGGCGTTGAAGGACCTCAAAACTGTACAACAAATAAGTACATGTACGCTTAGCACAAATGTACTTTGGCAGCAAGCAATAAAGGACTTGCCGACCTGATGTTACTGTTTCATGTGGGCGTGTCTATTTCTCAAGCAAAGTCTACATTCCACACAGAGGCAAACGGCCTCAAATGCCCAGACCCAAAGCCACCCGGCTATAATGCGGGTCAGGGCCCCAAAGTACCAAACGCCGCCCGGTTCCCGCCATTTTCTTTTCCGTCTGCCTCGTGCATTAAGCCCACTTGACGACCGCGGTGCCGCCCTTCTTGAACTCAGACATCTCGCCCAACACCAAGCTGCGATCGGTGTGGTCCTTGTTGGGGAAAGTCGTGGCCAATACCCAGGACCTGTTGCGGGTATCCGCAGAAGCGCGCTGCACGAATTCGTAGACGTCATTGATGGTGTTGGTAGTGTTGAAGCGAGCAGGCAGTCTGGTGCCATTGGGCAACTGGATACGGAGGGTCAGGGTAGGCTGAGACTCATCGACAGCCTGCTGAGGGCCCGTCGAGCTGGCACTGGCCGAGGCCGAAGCAGCAGGGGCGGCTGTGGTGGACGAAGAGCTGCCCTCACCGGGAACGGGGCTACCGAGCCGGCGTCCCTCTCCACCGAACGGCTTGTATGTCTTGGGCAATGGGTGGTAGTTCTCCTGGTGTTGATGAAGCTTCACGTCGACCGGCTGATCGTAGCGAACATTCATCAAGTGCAGAGGGGCTCTACCAGCCCGAATCATGTTGAGATCCATCGCATTCTCGGGGTCGTCGAATCGGTGAAGTTCGCCATCGTCAATGCTGAAGCCATCCTGCCACAGGTGCAGTGTACGCTCCTGAGGCTCGCCGGTCGCGCCCGCTGAGCCACCCGCACCCTCCTGAGCATCAGGGTCGGGAATACTGCGGCTCTCGGAGCCCTCGCCACCCAACGTGGTGCCGCTTCCGCGGAAAGCACCGGAGCGCGAAGGGCCCGCGGGCGATGCAGTCTCTGGCCGGGATGCGTTCCTGATCTGCGTCAGTCCTGTCGTCCTCGTAGCATTCTCTTGCATTGTGAACTTACGCCTTGGCCTTGGCGAGGATGTCGCTGATGATCTTCTTAGCACCACCACCCTCTTGTTGAGACGGATCCTGCACAGCCAGTCCAGACTTTTCACCGCCAGCAAAGAGGTCGCCGCGGCCTCTGTCATCGTCGTCCTCGTCATCTTCATCGTCATCGTCGTCGTGTGCGTGGCCTCCTCCAATAGAGCTAAGCGTTGCGAGACCCTTCTTCTTAGGCGCTGCCTTCTTTACGGTGCTCGCTCTGCCGACCGACTCGGGCGCGGGTCGTCCATCGAGGGTTCGGGGACCGGTGTATTCGGCGGGAGCAGGAGCAGAAGCTTGAGCCTGCGCAACGGGTTCGATTTCTTCCTCACCGGAGTCGTGGTCGGCGTAGTAGGCTTGGGCGGCAAGGCCGATGTCCCAGTTTGCGGATTCGAGGTACTCTGTGCACTTAACGCAAAGTTAGGAAGGTAATTCACCACGCTCTTCCCAAACACCTTACCCTAGCTTCGGGCATGCCTGTCAGGCTCTTGAAGTCGCGAAGTATATTGTTGCGCGAAGCGCTGTTGGAGCTCCCAGACATGTTGGCGGTACTGGATGTAGTATGGCGGGGGAGGGTGAGGTGTCGATGGGGAAGGATAGAATTGACGGAAGATGGAAAGAGAATGGAGTGGTCTCTTAACCTAGTGTATAACGGTGCGGTCGTTTTATAAGGTAGGTAGAGATATCACCAGTGAATCCGTGGTCTTCTTGAAGCTCAGTTTTCTTTGAAGGTTGCGCTGTGCAGTGATTGAAAGGCGAAGTGGGAGACGAATAGCAGGCAGCTTAGTGGTCGTAACTGCTTCCACGGGCATTGGAGCTGCATCCGTAACGAAAGGTACCTGGCCGTCTAGCACATTCCCTGTGACGTGAGGGAGGAGCCACCGCCCATACCGACTGCCCCAACCCCACCATAGGTACACCGCCACATTTCCGACTTATCTAATCTCTCTAGATTGTGGCTGAAGCTTCGACGGGGAAAGTCGAATACTGACGCACAGACCCCGCAGACTCCAAGTCGGCGCAGTGCAGCAACACGTTGGGGGAGGCGGTAGCTGCGGTGTGATTTTCCGAGGTGATGCCGTAGCCGTAGCTCCCCGTCCCATCATCGAACTGCCCTGCGCCGAATCTCGGTAAACCTGCTCGTCGACCAAGTTTCCAATCATCCCCAAGATCACTACCTTCCGAACCCCCAAGCCAGCGTCGACGATGGCTTCCGACGACTCCCTCCACCCCCTTGCCGAGTCCGGCGTGACAATCCGGTCCGACAGCGAGCAGTACTCCCAAGGCGAGGATCTCACCGAATCACCTCCCTCGTCCAACTCGCCCATCATCCTCTACAAGCCGCCTACGTTCTGGGGCCTGGTTCGCGGGGCCGCTATCAACCTGTTCCTCCCCTTTATCAATGGCATGATGCTGGGATTCGGAGAGCTATTTGCACACGAGGCTGCCTTCAGGCTAGGATGGGGCGGCACCAAGGTACGAAACGGAGTTGTTAGACGCTCGCATACATGCATCCCCAGAGCATGCGCATACTGCGAGATTTCAGCCGAAGATGGCGCCACATGTTGCAATAGTATCTAATACACATATTACAGGTGTTCCCCTTGTCCCGGAGAACGGCGCACGCTATTGGCCCCGGCCTTGAGATTCGCGACAAGCACCGGAGGCCCTCTACCGGTCTCGACGATTTGACGAGCTTGGAGTGACTAGGCGGGTGGGAATAAAAGCACGAGTCCACCTATGAAGACGGGATATTTCCGACCGCGTGTGAGGTCGCAAGCTGCTCTAAGGAAGACGACAAGAAACGACGGCGTCCCTCAGTGACAGAAAGCTGCTGCAAGCGGTGTCGGAATCATTACAAACAATGCCCAGCCAGATATATTACTTACCTAGGCAAGGCTACATACATCGGCGTACGGGGAGAGTAAAGGCATTTACAAAGTACGGCCCTTGGACAGATGGTGTTGGTGTGGACCAGGCTATAGTGACGAGTTCAAGACTCGAGGGTCGTACATAAGCAAGGATCAAAAGAAACCAAAATACAGCATGTTCCCTCATTTATTGATGGTTAGCCAACAGTCTCAGCTTTGCAAATTTCCCCATAACCGCACGGCTATAACCGAGCCTTCCGGTGTCATTGATATCCAATGCTGACCTTCCTGAGTCTCGTCCCCCAGACTCAACCTGAGTGACTCTCCCCTGGCCGCGGAACGGAGCCGGAGCTTGGACCCGCTTCCCGTCCCACCCGACATTTCCCCGGCGCGTCTGCGGTTCCAATGGCGAGGTCCCCAAAAATTTCCAGCAACTCGCGCTGAAGACAGAAAGACGCTGACTGGAGCGTCAGTCTGCAATTCTCAACACCCTCCCAACCCTCCTCCCTCAGAAACTGCCCACCATGCTGCCCAGCAGAGGTGTTCTTCGTTCGCTGCCCTCCACGAGAGCGGCCAGCAGCATAACCCGCCAAAGTGTACATTCTTCCTCTCCCACCCTCTGCCTTCGGAATCCCATGCGCATCAAGTACTAACGTGCAGTGACCAGATCTCCCGGGCACCCAGACGACTCGGCGATGGACGGCAATTTGGAACCTCAATGCGCAACGGCAGTGCGCCCTGGGCGGCACTGAGATCGACCCACTTCAGACCAGGTGGCCTTGCCGGCACAGTAGCCATCGGCGGCTCCCTCGAGACGAGAAGAGCAATCTCCCTCTGGGACAAGTCTGAGCCCCAGCCGACACCATCAGCATCGTCACCAATCGCACCAGCTGCACCAGCTGCCCCCGTTACGCCCTCAGGGTCCGTCGACGCAGCCTCAGCATCCGCTTCATCCATCCCTCCTTCCGCACCGGCCGCACCTGTCGCACCCGTCGTCCCCGAGGCCACAACCCCCTCGACCTCTTCCCTTCCCGAGCTCGATGCCGCCTCCCTCCTCGATCTCCCCGAACAGATCGGCTTCCTCAAGACCCTCGGCCTCGACTTCGGCTGGGGCCCTTCGAGCGTGATGCAATGGGCCCTCGAACACGTCCACGTCCTCTCCGGCATGCCGTGGTGGGGCTCCATCGCCGCGACGGCCATCCTTCTCCGTCTCATCATGTTCAAGCCGCTCCTCAAGTCCCAAGACACCTCGGCGAGGATGCAGAAGCTCCACCAGGATCCGGCCTACGACGAGACCCGCAAGGCGATGCAGGAGGCCATGGCGAGCGGTAACTCGGCCGCCATGACTGAGGCCCGTCGCGACCTGTCCATGCTGAACAAGCGCGCCGGCGTGAACCCCCTCAACGCCTTCTGGGGTCTCCTCCAGATCCCCTTTGGATACGGCATGTTCCGTGTCCTCAACGGCGCTGCCAGCATCCCCGTCCCTGGCATGGAAACTGGTGGTTTCCTGTGGATCACGGATTTGACCGTCTCTGACCCTTACTTCCTCCTGCCTATTGCCGGTCCGATGGCCATGTTTGCCATGGTCAAGGTACGTGAAACCCAGGCGACCCAGCTTGCTTCAATCTAGATGCTAACATGTCGAGTTTCAGCTCGGCTCCAAGTACTCCACGCCTCAAGCCAAGGCCCAGCAAAAGCTGATGATGTACATCCTCGGACCCCTCTCCGTAATCTTCACCTCGTACCTCCCCGCCGGCGTCCAGTTCTACTTCTTCATCACCGGTCTCATCGGTGTCGCCCAGAACTGGCTCTTCTCCAAGGCCGCCTTCCGCTCCCTCTTCAACCTCACACCCATCGCCACTCCCGGCCCTGCCATCGGCACCACAGCCGG